GAAAACTATTTGATGTCATCACATGAATGAAATCCATAGAACGAAGCAAATATCCATCATCATCACTCTCATGCCAAGCAAATATCATTTTATTGTAACTCTCTTAATTGTATTAACAAAATAATTTAAAGGCAAATAAAAGTTCACACTACTATTAAAGAAAAAGCCAATTTAATATACTTAAGGGTATAGGTATGACATGTTGAACAATAATTGCGTTTGCAACGAAATATTTTTAGAAAGCTATTAAATAATATCTATATTTATATGTAGTTCAAGCATTTTACACAATTTTAAGTTTTAAATACAGATTTTAATTACATACATATATTTGGAAACTAAGAATGAAAATTACCCAAATGAAAACTGCTTACAATTCAGCCCTATTCTGCATTTCGACTCGAATCGAAATGTTCTCCGTTTGGCAACTTTGGTATTCTGTGTTCCGTTTCCTTTCGATCCATCTTCGAAATTTACGATTATACCTATTCTACATTTCGATCGGAGTTCCGTTTTTCTAGGTTGCAAATTTGTTGACGGAGAACGTTTCGATTGTTATTTTCGTGGGTTTAAATAATAAAATTTATAAAAAAATAAGTAAAATATACTGTGCATGATTGTAAGTCATCATAAATGAATTTTCTCGATTTCTGTGTTTTCGCGAGCGGTAATACGGGCAATACGAAAAATTGGCTCAAATATTAGGAGCCAAAGGGGATATTGTGCGAGGTTTTCAAAGAGGAAGCACAGGCGTTTTTGTTTTCATTATCTATAAATAAGACTGTGAAATGCAAATACAATTTATTCTTTGTATATCAAATTAATAGAAGTATGTACATACATACATTAGGGTGAGTAAAAAAAAAATAAAGTATTTTTTTTGGATCCGACACACGAAAACTAGTACCTAGGTACCTCTAGAAAGTACTTACCAAACCTGAGCTCTTAATATTAACGGGAAGATTATGCTCGTCATAGTTTTCCATTTTCAATTTAGTCTCATATAACAATGGTCATATCTTATCACCAATAGATTGTTAAACCAGTTGCGTCGTCAATATTTATAGGAAATTGAACGCTCTACAAAAATGGTTTCACATATATTTTTTTCATTAATCTAACCACTTAAAAGATATTCAAGGTCAAAGATTGAAGTATTTTAAGGAAAATAATTTTTTTTTGTTTTGAATTTTGTAACTTACTAAAAAATAATTATTGCCAAATGAGTTTCAATTATTTCTATAGGGAATTAAATGCTCTACAAAAAAGGTCTCATGTAGTTTTACTGTACTGATTTTAATAGTTTTAATAAATATCTCCAATTTATCCATTTAATTAATGAATTTTGAGATAATTTATGATCTATTTCAGAAAAAGAAGGTTTTTATTTAAGGAATATCATCAAACTTATCAGCAGAAAAAAAATCTATTTCGCCATATGAAATTTTATAATTCAATACAGTACTGATACAAAAATATATTTTTTCTTTTGATAAAAATTGATACTCAAATTCTCATGAATATTTTCAAAATTCATAAATTGAAAATATTTATTGAAAAACCATTAAAATCAGGCATTGGGATTCTACTGCAAATATCTTATAAATGGTTAGAGTAATCGATTAACTACATCAGACCTTTTTTTGTAGAGCGTTTAATTTCCTATAGAAATAATTGAAACTCATATGAAAATATTTTTAAGTAAGTTACAAAATTCAAAACAAACAGTTATTTTCCTTAAAATACGTTACAAAATTCAAAACAAACAGTTATTTTCCTTAAAATACTTCAATCTTTGGCCTTAAATATCTTTTAAATGTTTAGATTAACCAAAAGAGTATATTAGACCATTTTTGTGGAGCGTTCAATTTCCTATAAATATTGACGATGCTACTGGTTTAACGATCTATTGGTGATAAGATATGACCTTTTTTATATGAGACTAAATTGAAAATGGAAAACTATGATGAGCATAATGTCCCCGTTAATATTAAGAGCTAAGATTTGGTATGTACTTTCTAGAGGTACTTGGTAGAGGTATACGCCGCCGCGCCACGCCGTCGCCGCCGCCGTTTTTTGTCATTCCTCACGCGCCGCCGCCGAGTTACGAAAATATCGGCGTGGCGGCGGCGGCGTTCGGCGCCTAAGGAATTTTGTACAAAATTTTCATGATGTACAGTATCGGTCATATCTATAGCACGCCATTTCAAAGTGATATTGTGTGCCACTTATGTTTATTTATTTATTTTTAAGAATTTTCAATTAAAATTTAATTCATTCTCGGACAAACCCCATAAATATCCAAGTTCAACAATTTGTAGAAAACTACAAAAAAGTGTAACAAATTTTAACTTAAATTTCAAACTTTTTTCTCGGAAGTGATAGAATTTTTTTTTGTACACAGTTTTTAGCCCCTGCAATTTTAGTCTGATAATATGCAAATTTTAAGTGGCTACGAATTACCGTTAATTTTTTAGAATTTTTTTTGTCGCATTGGCTTCCATATAATAAATAAACTCAATTTATTTGTATATGGAAGAAAACCGCAACATCCTTGGCGAAAAAAATTCTAAAAAATCAGCGGTAACTTTTAGCCACCTGAAACTTGCACATTATCAGACTAAAATTGATTGGGCTATAAAACTGTGTATTCAGAAAAATTCAAACACTTCCGAGAAAAAAGTTTGAAATTTAGTGAAAATTTGTTGCACTTTTTTGTAGTTTTCTATAAGTTTTTAAACTTGGGTTTTTATGGGTTTTGATAGAGAAAGAACTGTATTTTAATTGAAAATTCTTAAAAATAAATAAATAAACATAAGTGGCACACAATATCACTTTGAATTGGCGTGCTATAGATATGACCGATACTGTATGTACATTGAATACATCGTTTGAAGGAACTAAATACTACTTGTATAAAAACACAATTTTACGAAATGAAAATTACATTTATAAATTAGATTTTTTGCATAATTTGGGCCACTGGACAAGAATAAGATCTCCTTTATTTTTCCAAAAATAGCGTAACTCAGAAAAAACATAGGTAACATATTTTTCGACGAAAGCGTTTATTACAGTTAAATTGGGGTCGAATACTGGTAATCTAATGATTTTTTTCCGCAGTAGACAATTCTTTTCAATACTACAACAATACTACTTTTTTATACACCTGCTACAACAACAACAAAGTAATAACACATCAAAAACTTTAATGCCAATATCTCAGAAAGCAGTTTTAATAGAAGCCCTTTGCATCGAACTCCTCGATTATTGCAGATAACACAAAGATAATATTTTAGTATTTTAAACAAACACGTTTTTTGCTAATATTTACATTCGTAAATTATTTTATTCTGGGGTCCCACATACGTATACAAGTACTAGGTGGCTATGTGAAAATTACGTTAGCATTCCTTAGTGATGGTCTAACCCCAGGAAGGTTTTGCTCCATCGCATCGCAATGTTTTCTACACAGGGTTGAAGTTATTTATTGAGAGCGACATAAATTACCCCAATAACTAAACTTCTAAAATTTTTTTATTTGTTTAAATTTAAATATGTAGTACATACGGATCTGTAGAGAACATAGAGATCCGTGTATGTATGTATGTATGTATATACCTCAGACCTTCTTCTGTTCGCCCATCAATCAGCGCCAGACACTCAACATTCTAATTCAAGTGGAAGTAACAATATTTAAATTTAAAACTAATTCAATAATGAAATAAATAGAATTATAATAATAGAATAATTGGCATGGCGAACGCCTAACGCTGACGAGTTGAAATGATAAGATTAGTAGCCTCATGGCTCTTTGAAATCTACCTTATGAGCAGTAGCGCCGGCGTTTCCAGATGCGCCGGCGTCGCCGCCGCCGCCAAATATTTTTGAAGTTGACCACGCCGCCGCCGCAAAGCCTGTCGGCGTAAACCTCTAGTACCTAGGAACTAGTTTTCGTGTGTCGGATCAAAAAAAAACTTGATTTTTTTTACCCACCCTAACATACATACATACATAAAATGTGAAGTTACATAAAAAAGATGCTTTTATTATTGCACTCGTTTTTACTAACTTTTTAAAAAGAGGTGCGTATGTTGTCGAATTCGAATTTGCTATGGAGCTTTGTTCTTCTCCTCCTCCTGACGGCTTTCTTCAAAGTGGAATTCATTTGCGTTCAAATCTTCCACTCTGTAGTAAATGCAAATGTTGTGGAGTGCTCAAACACTGGCTTTGAGCGATGAGTAATAGAGTTCATGATGAATTTAGGACTTTTCACTCATCTGAGAAAGATCAAACATGATGTTTTCTCTCTTCCTCTTCCTCTTTCGACTCGATCGTAACGCAGAATACCTAAGTTAGATTCTTGCGGAGCGGACTGCGGCAACGTAATCGAAATGCAGAATAGGGCTGATTGTATGGAAATACATACGTACAGCCAACATTACAAGGTAAAATCATTGAGAGGCAGTCTGACGTTTGCCAGCAATATAATTTTAAAATTTGAACTCAAGCTCACACACACATTCTCATTTTTTAATCTTAAACAACAACAATTGTGAACAACTTAATTTTTTTTTATTTTCAATTTTATATGATTTTAATGTTTTTATCATGCATACAGCCATGGTCAACCAAATAGCACACACACCTTTACCCGAAAGCCAAATCCGCTAAAAAAATCGGCATGAAGATACTTTTTTTATACAAATTGCATGGTAACATCTTCCCTTGCATATTACCATGATACAAAAAGGTAGTTCCATTTCAAATTTTTTGACAAAAAATATGTTTTCAAGTTTCACTAATTGTACAAAATTATGAGCTACCTACATCGACCAACTCTTAAACTATTCGGACGTGTTCATACAAGTGTTCTTAGCTCGCGTAATAACAATACCAAATAACCCGTTATCATATTTCGCTTTTGTGCACTTTAGTGGAGCATCAGCATAACAACCACTTTGTAAACAAGGAACCGCTACAACATACCAACAAACAAAATGCCAACACAACCAGAGCCACCTGACAAATCAACAAACAGATTCGCAATACTAAGCCAATTTGACGACACCGATTACACATTTCCCACACTTACACATAAACAAACACCACTTAACCAACCCAAATACATAACAATTACAGCAGCCAACAATGAACTACAAAAACTAAGCCCATTCGTAATAAAAAGAGCAATAGACTCAATATCAACTCAAATAGAAAACGTAAAGCAACTCAAAGACGGATCATTGCTTATACTGACACTTAACTCAAGAGTAGCTGAGCGGTTTTTAAAAGTGAAAACACTCGGTAATCTATGCCCGGTGACAGTCAAATACCAAGACAATCTAAACACAATAAACGGAGTAACTTATGCGCCCTGCCTAAATTTTGTAAGCGACGAGGAAATCATACAAGAATTAAAAAGTCAAGGCGTAAGAAACGTATACAAATTCACACGCACATTTGAAGGCAAAGCAACTCCTACTGGAAAAATTGTATTATCTTTCGATCTTTACCACCTACCCAAAGACATTGATATGGCATGGTACAAAGTTAAAGTCACACCGTACTACCCTACCCCTATGCGTTGCAAAAACTGCCAGCTCTTGGGGCACACAAAAACACGGTGTACTAATCCTGCCACGTGTGAAGGCTGCAACCTTCCACCTCACTCCCCAACTGACTGTTCGCGCAAACAATGCGCAAATTGTGGCAACAACCACGCATCATCAGACAAAGATTGCCCTAGATTCAAACAAACCCAAGAAATCCTAAAAATAAAGACAACTGCTAAATGCTCAATGGGAGAAGCACGTCGTAAATACAATGAAAAAAACGAACCACAAAGAATCCCAAAACATACTTACTTAGACATCACCAAAGGAAACAAACAAACATCCACCAACAAGCCACCACCAACGCCTCCAACAGAAACCACAAGCATTGCTAAACGCCCCGCTTCATCCCCACCGACTAAAATTAATCAAAACAAATTACAAAAAACCCAAATATCGCCCAAAAAAACTAACCTAAGCAGCACTAGTAACACAACAACAATTAAAAAATCCATTTCAAACAAACTCTCTGATCACTATGATAATTCACAAACCTCAACTTCACAACTCACCAACAACTTACCTGAAAACAATAATACTATCTCACCATGCACCAAAATAACTCAAGAGCTACTAAATAAAAATGAATATTATATGGCCCTTTCTGACTCCGAAGAAGAACCTAAATTATAATTAATCAATAAACAAATAACGGCAAATAACAAATAAATACAACAAAGCATATAAACTAATAAATAAAACATGAATTTCAAAATATTACAGTGGAATATAAAAGGATTCTTTAACAACATCAATGAGCTTAACCTCGTAATTAAAGAAGAAAATCCACCCTTCATATCACTGCAAGAAACACATTGCAAACACAACTTCAACCCATATCCCCCAAAAGGATACTTAAGCCATTTTCTAAACTCATCAACAATTACAACAGCCAAACAAGGAATAGGGGTGCTTATTAAAGCTAATATTCCCCACAAAATAATTTCATTAAACACCGACCTACAAATAATAGCGATCGAAGTCAACCTTAATATAAAATTTACAATAATATCATGCTATCTTCCACCAAACTTACAGATTCCTACCAAAGAAATAATGGATACACTCGCCTTAATTCAAACACCAATAATCTTTTTAGGAGATTTTAACAGCTGGAATCCTTTGTGGGGTTCCCCAACATACAACAATCGAGGCAAAATAATAGAACACATAATCAACCAATCGGACCTTTTCTTAATAAACGACGGTAGACCAACCCACTTTTCAACGCACGGGACACTGACCCATGTAGACATTACATGCTGCTCAGCTAGCTTGCTCCCGATCATCAAATGGAATATCTTAGAGGATCTTTATCACAGCGACCATTTCCCGATAATCACCACAATCAATTTGACACACAACACCGAAAAACACCACACTGAAAAGAAATTTCTACTCAACTTTGCTGATTGGGCAAAATTCAGTCAATCCGTCGAAGAGGAAATTTCGGAGAGACCGATTTCTGTAAACATTAATCAAGAAGCAAATAATATTACAAAGGCAATTCGTGTAGCAGCCAACCTTTGGATCCCTCAATCCTCTCAGAAGACCAGAACCCATGTCCCCTGGTGGAACCAGACTTTAGCAAATCTCCGCAACCAAAAAATGACAACATGGCACCTTTTTCGAAAATCTCCAACAGAACAGAATCTTCTTGAATACAAAAAACGTAATGCTATCTTCCGCAGGGAAATGAAGCAAACAAAAAAATCTAGCTTCGAAAATTTTGCAAAAAGCATAAACATAAACTCATCATCGCAGGAATTATGGAACAAAGTGCGGAGGCTAACAAATCAAAATACACAAACGTCAATAGCAGCAATTCAAACACCACAAGGAACAACAACGGAAACGCGAACAATAGCCCACCTCTTTGCTCACAACTGGTCTCAATGCTCGAACGACAACAATTTTCCTAATCAATTCAACCAGGCAAAAAAATCAAATATAGCGCCAAACCAAACCACTAATCCAACAGCAATGAAAATGGAAGTGCATATTTCCATGGATGAAATGTATTCTACCCTAAAAAGTACTAAAGGAAAAACACCAGGTTTTGATCGCATCTCATACAGCATGATTAAACACTTGAACTTATCCACAAAAACGAGACTTTTGACACTGTACAATAATATTTTCCAATCAGGCATTATTCCCCAAAACTGGAAAGCGGCAACCATCATCCCTATCCCAAAACCTCAGAAAGACCTCAACCTTCTCGGATCCTACAGACCCATCTCGCTAATTTCGTGCCTGTCGAAATTAGTAGAAAAAATAGTCGCGACACGTCTAGTCTGGTTTACAGAGGCAAAAAGGCTCATCTCATCCAACCAGGTCGGTTTTCGACCAGGAAGAGGATGTACGGATGCCCTGCTACACATCGACTACAATGTGGCAAAAACGCTATCAGCCCATAACCACATTTCAATATTATCACTAGACTTCGAAAAAGCGTTCGACAGAATAGGAGCTCACGTCATTCTAGAGAAACTAAATCAGTGGGGAGTTGGACCCAAGATCTTCAATTTTGTAAAATCATTCCTCCAAAATAGAAAATTCCGAGTCAGGGTAAACGGTATTTACTCCAAATTATATCTTTAACGAATGGTATTCCCCAAGGATCACCGCTTTCAGTACTCCTCTTTTCAATCGCGTTTAACGAAATAAGCACTATAATACAGAAACACAAGCTTTGTTAACCACTGTATCTATGCCGACGATTTATTTATACTGTGCAACAAAAAGAACAATAGCGAGTCAAATAAAATTTTAAGAAATATTCTGAAAGAAATTGATGACTGGACCTTAAGATCAGGTGCGAAAATTTCCCTCGAAAAAACAAAAAAACTTCATATTTGTAAAAAACTAAAATGCGATTCCAATAGTCACTCAATAGAATTGAAGCAACAAATTATCGAGAATGTGGATGAACTGCGAATACTAGGTTTAATATTCACAAAAAACTACACATGGAAACGGCATCTTTTAAAACTAAAGAGGGATCTACTCTCCAGACTTAGTTTAATATCGTATTTGTCATATAAAGGATATGTCCACATAAACACACTCATACACATCACAAAAACTATAATCCTGCCAATGTACCACAAGGCGATCAGAACCAGCCTATTCGCTTTTCGCACCACCACGACAAATAACCTCTTGTTGTTGTTGTTGTTGTAGCGGCTACAACAACCCCGCCCAGATCGGTTGGTATCTCAGTCGTTGTCGTCAAGTTCCACTAACGGCAACCCTAGGAAGCGTGCAGCTTCTGCGGGGTTTGCCCATAGGGACAAGGCCGTTAGGGTTGTCGGGTTTTCCGGGCATGCGAAGAGATGTTTCGAGTCATGTGGGGTCTCTCCGCATGCCGGACATTCGTTCGGCACATCCTCATTCAACCTACTCAAGTAGGAGTTCAACCTGCTGCAGTAGCCGGAGCGAAGTTGTGCGAGTGTAGTGCGTGTCTCCCGAGGCAGATGAAGCTCCGTCTCGTCTATGTACAAATAACCTCTTCATTGAATCTGGCTTGCCCACACTAGAGGAACATATACAGAATGTCAACACTAGCTTAATACCAAAAGTTTTATTTTTAAATACATCTATAATATCCGAAGACGTAAAAAAACTGGTACTATCCAAACGAACATTCAATGTTAATCCTTCACTGCTCCGAATTATCAAACTATGCAACAAGTACAACTTGGAAGTAAAACCACATAGACTACGAAGTTACAACCCACCGTGGACTCTTGACAGCCAATGTTGCGATAGAACACTACACACCCACAAAAAAGATAACACCCCAAATTCAATATTCAAACAAATCTTCCTCGAAAAGGCGAACACTTACAATAAGAGCGGCTGGCAAATTATCTTTACTGATGGGTCTAAAACACAAAATAGCGATGCTTTCAGTATAACATCGGAAACAGGCTCCTGCATTAGCATGAAATCAATGTTCCCTTTCTCTTCAGTCTTCTCGGCAGAAGCAGCAGCTATACACGAAGCTATAGTATTTTCCCTTCACAAAAAAACAAAAACTGTGATATGTTCAGACAGTCTATCGGTGTTACAGGCAGTTAGAAATTAACAATTAACAATTAATCAAATAAGAGATATGTTAATAAAAAACAAGAAAACGCTTAAGCTCCTATGGGTTCCAGGACACGCAGAAATTGACGGTAACACCTACGCCGATGAAGCTGCAAAATTTGCTTGCAATGCACCAATAATACGCACCCCAAAAATCGAAAAGCTTGACATAAAACGCCATATCAAAACGCTTATAATACACGAAACACGCCAACTGCGTAGCAGCCACAAACATTATCACTATACTAACATTAACAAAGATGGAACTCCTCCACAATACCCAACAAATATACATGGTTTCAAAACCAGAATCTTTTCACGATTGCGTCTCGGGCACACCACACAAACCCACGAATATATCTTGAAAAAGGAAAATCAACCAATCTGCATCACCTGTAACACAATCCAAACATTAGACCACATCCTCAACAATTGCCAAAAATACTACAACACAAAAAAAAGCAGTATTTAACACAGAATATAAACGACGTCCTAGCTACCCCTAGCTTTGCTAATATTGAAAAAATCGCCAAATTTATCAAAGATATAGAAATGACAATCTAATAAACACAACCTTAAACAACAGTAAATTCAGAGCTGATGGTCTCGGCAGCCAATGCTCAAATAGATCATTTAGTGCTGGTATTCATACCAGCTTCGAAATAATAATAATAATAATAATATGAGCTACCTTACCACATTGATAGCAATCAAACAATACATCAGAGGATTTAATGTTGTGCGTGGGAAATGTTGGGTTATTTGTATAATGATTATTTTCGAAAAGAAAAATTAAACTCGTGTTAGGCCATCAGCAGTATTTTTGCGCAAAATCCACCTCCAATTTTACAAAAAAGTGCACATTTCAAACCGCATTCTTTTTTTTTTTAATAAACGCTTAATCCTTTGACTAGACGTATATGTTAACGGGTTCCTGTCCAATGAATCACATGTGATTCATGGGAACAGTTTTTTACCTTGTCTCACAAGTCCATGCATCATATATGAGCAAAATCAATGCTGACTTCAGACACATATTTCTATGTATTTGCAAAAAATATAGTGTTTTTGTGTGGAAACATACAAAACAGTTGTGGATTGAATATGATACATAGGACGTACCTTATCGAAAACTATTTCCCACCCTTATGTATAATAAATGAGATTTTAAATATTTTATTTTTTTTGCATAAGGGCATATTATCTCATGTGGATAATTCTTGTCCCAAATACATATGTAGTTGCGACCCTATATTTATTTATATATAAATTTCTTAGCAGCAACATCTGTATCAGAACAGCCCGAGAATCCAAAAAATTGGTACTGTTACAAGCAGGGACCAAAAATAACTGTTATCTCGAATTTACAAATTGAAAACGTTGCCTGAATTCTGAAATTTAACGAAAACGTTGTTTCATAACAGTTAATAGATGAGAAATATTTGTTCCGTTGCTGATAAGAGTTATTTCACAACGTTTATTTTTTACGTTGCTCGATAACGGTTATTGCCCAACTTTTATTTTTTACGTTGCTTGAT